CAGCAATTGGCTTTTGGCAGAAAATTTAAACTGTTTGCCACAACAGGAGGGCTCAGCTCACTTTTCCTTTATACAATTTTTAACAAGTCTGCACCAGAAGATTTCTGCCTGCACCCAAAGGGCATGTTTCCGTAGTGTAGTGGTTATCACGTTCGCCTCACACGCGAAAGGTCCCCAGTTCGAAACTGGGCGGAAACTGTGGATGGTCTTTGCTAAAAATTTTCAGTGGTTTTCTGTTGAGCAGGTCAGAACACTTGCAGGGCGATTTGCGGTGTAAATTCTTTAGAAAAGGACTAAAACAAAACGAATGACCATTGAAGTTTCATGTAGAGTAATAAAAAATGTTTAGTCTGCCAACAAAAATAGCAGCTTTTTGCCATTTTAAGGACAGTGGGCAGTCTATCGTTTCAGTCGCTTTTGAACAAGCGTACGCTAAAAGAGGTCGGACTGTCTTCCAAGTAAAGTTTCCGTAGTGTAGTGGTTATCACGTTCGCTTTACACGCGAAAGGTCCTCAGTTCGAAACTGGGCGGAAACAAGTAAGGGGTTTTTAATATACGTGCTGAAATTCGCAACAAAGTTTTTGGACTATTGAAATTAGGTGAGGGCAATTGTACCAAAGAGCTGTAGGCAGACTGCCATTCCGAATGAGCTCTTATCTGATGTTTGTGGAATTTAAACAGCTTGTCACAATGCTTGCAGGAAAGATTATGGGATGGAGCCATTTTCGAAAAAGCACATGCCTTACATAAGGAGGTTTCTGTAGTGTAGTGGTCATCACGTTCGCCTAACACGCGAAAGGTCCTCGGTTCGAAACCGAGCAGAAACAGCAATTGGCTTTTGGCAGAAAATTTAAACTGTTTGCCACAACAGGAGGGCTCAGCTCACTTTTCCTTTATACAATTTTTAACAAGCCTGCATCAGAAGATTTCTGCCTGCACCCAAAGGGCATGTTTCCGTAGTGTAGTGGTTATCACGTTCGCCTCACACGCGAAAGGTCCCCAGTTCGAAACTGGGCGGAAACTGTGGATGGTCTTTGTTAAAATTTTTTCAGTGGTTTTCTGTTGAGCAGGTCAGAACACTTGCAGGGCGATTTGCGGTGTAAATTCTTTAGAAAAGGACTAAAACAAAAAGAATGACCATTGAAGTTTCATGTAGAGTAATAAAAAATGTTTAGTCTGCCAACAAAAATAGCAGCTTTTTGCCATTTTAAGGACAGTGGGCAGTCTATCGTTTCAGTCGCTTTTGAACAAGCGTACGCTAAAAGAGGTCGGACTGTCTTCCAAGTAAAGTTTCCGTAGTGTAGTGGTTATCACGTTCGCTTTACACGCGAAAGGTCCTCAGTTCGAAACTGGGCGGAAACAAGTGAAGGGGTTTTTAATATACGTGCTGAAATTCGCAACAAAGTTTTTGGACTATTGAAATTAGGTGAGGGCAATTGTACCAAAGAGCTGTAGGCAGACTGCCATTCCGAATGAGCTCTTATCTGATGTTTGTGGAATTTAAACAGCTTGTCACAATGCTTGCAGGAAAGATTATGGGATGGAGCCATTTTCGAAAAAGCACATGCCTTACATAAGGAGGTTTCTGTAGTGTAGTGGTCATCACGTTCGCCTAACACGCGAAAGGTCCTCGGTTCGAAACCGAGCAGAAACAGCAATTGGCTTTTGGCAGAAAATTTAAACTGTTTGCCACAACAGGAGGGCTCAGCTCACTTTTCCTTTATACACTTTTTAACAAGCCTGCACCAGAAGATTTCTGCCTGCACCCAAAGGGCATGTTTCCGTAGTGTAGTGGTTATCACGTTCGCCTCACACGCGAAAGGTCCCCAGTTCGAAACTGGGCGGAAACTGTGGATGGTCTTTGCTAAAAATTTTTCAGTGGTTTTCTGTTGAGCAGGTCAGAACACTTGCAGGGCGATTTGCGGTGTAAATTCTTTAGAAAAGGACTAAAACAAAACGAATGACCATTGAAGTTTCCCGTAGAGTAATAAAAAATGTTTAGTCTGCCAACAAAAATAGCAGCTTTTTGCCATTTTAAGGACAGTGGGCAGTCTATCGTGTCAGTCGCTTTTGAACAAGCGTACGCTAAAAGAGGTCGGACTGTCTTCCAAGTAAAGTTTCCGTAGTGTAGTGGTTATCACGTTCGCTTTACACGCGAAAGGTCCTCAGTTCGAAACTGGGCGGAAACAAGTGAAGGGGTTTTTAATATACGTGCTGAAATTCGCAACAAAGTTTTTGGACTATTGAAATTAGGTGAGGGCAATTGTACCAAAGAGCTGTAGGCAGACTGCCATTCCGAATGAGCTCTTATCTGATGTTTGTGGAATTTAAACAGCTTGTCACAATGCTTGCAGGAAAGATTATGGGATGGAGCCATTTTCGAAAAAGCACATGCCTTACATAAGGAGGTTTCTGTAGTGTAGTGGTCATCACGTTCGCCTAACACGCGAAAGGTCCTCGGTTCGAAACCGAGCAGAAACAGCAATTGGCTTTTGGCAGAAAATTTAAACTGTTTGCCACAACAGGAGGGCTCAGCTCACTTTTCCTTTATACAATTTTTAACAAGCCTGCACCAGAAGATTTCTGCCTGCACCCAAAGGGCATGTTTCCGTAGTGTAGTGGTTATCACGTTCGCCTCACACGCGAAAGGTCCCCAGTTCGAAACTGGGCGGAAACTGTGGATGGTCTTTGCTAAAAATTTTTCAGTGATTTTCTGTTGAGCAGGTCAGAACACTTGCAGGGCGATTTGCGGTGTAAATTCTTTAGAAAAGGACTAAAACAAAACGAATGACCATTGAAGTTTCATGTAGAGTAATAAAAAATGTTTAGTCTGCCAACAAAAATAGCAGCTTTTTGCCATTTTAAGGACAGTGGGCAGTCTATCGTTTCAGTCGCTTTTGAACAAGCGTACGCTAAAAGAGGTCGGACTGTCTTCCAAGTAAAGTTTCCGTAGTGTAGTGGTTATCACGTTCGCTTTACACGCGAAAGGTCCTCAGTTCGAAACTGGGCGGAAACAAGTGAAGGGGTTTTTAATATACGTGCTGAAATTCGCAACAAAGTTTTTGGACTATTGAAATTAGGTGAGGGCAATTGTACCAAAGAGCTGTAGGCAGACTGCCATTCCGAATGAGCTCTTATCTGATGTTTGTGGAATTTAAACAGCTTGTCACAATGCTTGCAGGAAAGATTATGGGATGGAGCCATTTTCGAAAAAGCACATGCCTTACATAAGGAGGTTTCTGTAGTGTAGTGGTCATCACGTTCGCCTAACACGCGAAAGGTCCTCGGTTCGAAACCGAGCAGAAACAGCAATTGGCTTTTGGCAGAAAATTTAAACTGTTTGCCACAACAGGAGGGCTCAGCTCACTTTTCCTTTATACAATTTTTAACAAGCCTGCATCAGAAGATTTCTGCCTGCACCCAAAGGGCATGTTTCCGTAGTGTAGTGGTTATCACGTGTGCCTCACACGCGAAAGGTCCCCAGTTCGAAACTGGGCGGAAACTGTGGATGGTCTTTGCTAAAAATTTTTCAGTGGTTTTCTGTTGAGCAGGTCAGAACACTTGCAGGGCGATTTGCGGTGTAAATTCTTTAGAAAAGGACTAAAACAAAACGAATGACCATTGAAGTTTCCCGTAGAGTAATAAAAAATGTTTAGTCTGCCAACAAAAATAGCAGCTTTTTGCCATTTTAAGGACAGTGGGCAGTCTATTGTGTCAGTCGCTTTTGAACAAGCGTACGCTAAAAGAGGTCGGACTGTCTTCCAAGTAAAGTTTCCGTAGTGTAGTGGTTATCACGTTCGCTTTACACGCGGCGGCCAGTCGCGCGTAGGTGTAGAGCGCTGCCAGCCAATAGGAACGCAGGAAATTCCAGGGAGGCGGGCCAGAAAAAATGCACAAAATCATAGGTTCAAGTCCCGTCTCGACCACAAATACCATAAAGTGTATCTAGATTAAAAAAATGATTACAAATTCATCCCGAGTACAATTACATATAATATACTAACTTTGTGCACAAAATAAAATAAAACTTGTAAGATTTGTTCTGGTGTAGGATTTACAAAACGTCCAATTCTCTTAATAAACATTTAAATTATAATAGGGTATGTTTCTCTTTTAATATAGAAAATATTTGGATGTGAATAATTGTAAAGAACATTTTGATAATGTTTTAGACCTTTATTTTTGAGAGATTTTCACATTATATTTGTTTAACTTTGCACAGAAATCCAATATATAAATGAAATACAACCAGAAAACACCAATAGTAATTTCTCATTTTATTTATAGTAAAATAATATACATATTATATGTAAAACTGAAAAAGGTAATGTATTAAATACTTATAGATTAAACAACAATAACATTAATAATAATAACATACAAAGCTTTGGAGAACACAGGAAAAGAACAAGATTTATTTAAAATTAAATAATTATGTACAGCGTTTTATTATAACAGTTATTAACATTTAGTGTTCACACAACTGAGCAAGATAAAATAATGCAAGTCAATAAAATTAACTTTAAAAACACACTAAAGTGCAATGCAAACAAGGACAAACTTTTTAATTTTAATGAACAATGGAAATAAATTTAACAATTTAAAAGGATAGATTAAACAACAGCAATAATAATATCTAAAGTTAAGGAGAAAAAAACAAGAAAGATGTTTAAATAAAATGATTCTGTACAGACTTTAATAGTAACATTACTTAATATTTAGTGTTTTACAAATCAGAGAAAGAAAAACTAATGGAAGTCAATAAATGAACTTTAAAACCCCCCCCCACCCCCACCCCCCCACACACACACACCAAAATACAATGCAATGCAATAAAATACAATACTTTTGGTATTTTAATGAACAAATTGAAACAAATTAAATATATATATATTAAAAGTGCAATAATATGTAGATAAATATATGTTTAACATTGTGCAAGGAATGTCTTTGTGCTATAAACAGTATTTGAGGTCTGGGCATGTCATTTGCCAATAAAGTCATTTTTTCTTTTCCTCAATCCACCTCTTCTTCTCGGCCTCATAGAATGGAGACTGCTGAATGTCTCTCCATGACATTTCTGTGCTCATTCCCTGAGCCTGATAAAGGGAAAACACTTTAGCAGGACAGTAAATGTATTTGCCTGCCACTCCAGGGAAACCAGTGTGAATATGAGGACTGTTTGGCCCTTGTTTCAGTGGCAGGTGGCAGAATCTGCACAGACGACCAGTAGGATGCTCTACTACAGACTTCCTCTTGCTTCTCTCCTCAATCACCCTCTTATTTTCCGCCCCTCTCCGCTTAGAAGACTCCAGTTCTCGCTGAAAAAAAGGAGTCGCTGCAAAGTCTTCAAAAGGCATTCTGGGGTTGGTCAGGCCCTCTGCTGAATATGTGTCAAAAACTTTCTTGGAGCAGTAGAAGTATTTAACATCACCGCCTTGATAAAAGAAATGTATTGAGGTGCCATCACCCATGTATCGAGACTTAGGCTGACCACAGGCTAAACAGGATCTGGTGAGCTTTTTTTGTGGCATTTGCTGTTGTTGCTTCTGAACTGCCTGCTGCTTCTCTATGATGTCCTTCACCATCTCTTCAAGCGCTGCCTGGTCTAGAGAGACAGCCTCAGGAACACTCTTTGCGGGTGGATTGACCGGGGCAGGTGGAAGTACTGTCACTGGGACACTGATGGTTTTACTGCCTGAATGAAGACGCTGCCATAACTGCTGTGTCTCCAGGAGCTTTTCTGGGCTGGTGTTGAGTGAAGCATTAGTGTTCTTTTTTTTAGCAAGGTGTTTTATGTACCTGCTTATGTGCTGCTTTGTGGTTGAGTGCAAAAGGCTGTTTGGGTCAGTGCAGGCACTCTGTACCATAGCAGCATATTCAGCATCCACCTTTGTCAGGAGGTCCTTGCTCCCGTGGTGCTTGGCAAGCAAACCATCAATGGCATTTCTCATTGGATCTGTCCATCTGTTATGGTCCAACACAAAGACTCGACCACCTGTCTTAATGGGTCCAGTCCGAGCAGCACAGGGAGAAGCAGCTAAAGGCAGTGGTGGTGTGCTTGGCAGTTCTAAAAGAGATTCACAAAATTATTTTAAATGAAGTATTTGTGTTTTGTGTGCATAGATTAGGCAAACAGATTACACACATAATGTAATTACCTGCATCTAAAAGAAACTCCTCAGATGTTTGTTCCTTCACTGTCACAGCACTCGGAGTAGAAAAACGTTTAAAAATCACAGTCTGCGGGGGGGCCTCTGGTCCACCAGCAGGAGGGGCCTCAGCAGAAGAGGAATCCTCTAAGCATTTCTGAAATTCAGCAAAATTAATGTTATTTGTGTAAAAAAATGTTTAATAAAAAGTCTGTTATGAAAAAAATTTAAAGGCTTACCTGAGATGGAAATGAGAAGTCAGTGCCAGATGAAGACTCTTCTTGCATCCCTAGGTCTGTCTTCCTGCTTTTGTGTTTGTCGAAGTCAAGAGGCACAGGTCGACAGCCTGGCTCCACATATTGTAGGCCAAACCTCTCGCCTGTGTCCCTGCTGGAGATGTGGAAGGCTGGATATTTGGGTTGCCCAGTCACTGTTATAGATGCCCTGTTTAACTCCATCATCAAAACAGGGTCAAACACTCCAGGTAAGACAAGCCCAGGCTGCTTCAGGTCAACGAGCCGCTGATAATTCCAGCGTGCCACACCAGTCATACCCTGCGCTTGGAACAGCTCAGGAGAGACGCGATTGCCCGTTACCCACTGAGCCTGGTGGAAATGAAACCCCTCCTGCTGTGAAGTGCCTCTGATAGGGATCCAGATGGGCACAGCAGCTCCTTCACCCTTGACATGATTCAGTTGTAGCGTTCCCCCATATCTGTAGAGGATTCCTTCCTCCACCTCAGGGTCACTCAGGCAGCCTCTAAGGATGTGGATACGCTGAATCCACCACAATTTTAGCATCGAGGGTTTAAAAAGGGAGATGTTGTTGGGATCGTTTGCAAGATGGAAATGGTGAAGTACTTCTTCCACTCTTTGGACCAGCTCTCTAGGATGTGGCACTTTTGTCCTGCAGTGCTCTCGGATGTGCAGGATTAGCAGGCTCAATTCCACAGAACTTGTATGCGTTCTTCAGTTTCTCCAGGTCACTCTGATCTACTACAGAGAAGGCAGAAGAGAGGAACTGGCAGAAGGAACTATACAGAGGATGGTGCTCCGAAACACATTCCCTGGTGAATCGCCGCATACAGTGAAACAAGTCTAGTTTAACCACCATGTCCTCATTGTACTTCTGGCAAGCGGCATTTACATTCTTGAGGTTTCCTGATGTAACCTCTGCCACAGTAGCTTCAGTGGTCCTCCAAGCTTCCCACTGCTGGTGCTCATACGGTCCTGGGTCCATCACTCTGAATGCAGCACAGCAGTCCCTAAGTAAATAAAATGGAAATAAAATGTAATTTTAATGCATTCATTACATTTGCCTGTACATCTTGATGTGATGAGTGATGAAATTTGATTATTCTTACCTGTCCACCCACTGGTACTTGGCCTTGGGTATGCCAGCAGCACTGTAGCGATTGGCCATCCCACAGTACATTGACGTCAAGGACTGCTCACTCTCAGACTGCAGCATCACCCAGGACAGGATCATCCAGTTCTCGTTAATCACAGCATAGGATGACATTGTGCCAGATGAGAGGGTCACTTTTCTAGCAACTTTGCGTGTGTGATCTGACCTGAACACCTGTCCAAAAGTGCCTTGAAGGAGCTGAGTGAGAACTGCCTCTTGACGCTGATATTCCTGAAGCAAGCACTCCACCAGATAATGTGCAGACACAGACACCCCATGCCACCAATCAGTGTCTTCGTAACCCCCAAACGAAGCAGGTGTGTCGTCCTTCCTCAATGCTCCTGTGATGGTTTTCTGGCCATACAGTCCTGCTTCAGCATCCCTGACGTTCTGCACCATTAGAAGGCAAGCAAGGTGGGCCCTTTCAAACTTAAGGTGAAGCACCTCAGACAGCTGGTTGGCCATATCATTGGGGGACTTTCCAGAGCGCCTCAGTTCATCCATCACTGTTTTACAGATTGCCTTCTTATAGGTGAGGAAGGCTGGCAAGATGTTTCTAAATCTCTGAGGTAGCATGTCCACCCACTGTGGTTTATCAGCAAACCAGTATTTTTTACATGCCTTACAGCACAGACGTGAAGCAAGGATGTAATATTGCCCACTAGTGCCAAGGATCACTCGGGGTCTTCCCACACCTGAGGACACAACATGCGGATTTGGACAGCTGTAGAGACAGGGCAGGATGTAATTGTTTCTAAGCCTTTCATTTATACTGTGCTCAGGTTTCCAGATGAAAAAGGGATGGAGCTGGAAGTACTTTGGTGACGGAAGGCCCATGCTTGTCTCTATGAGCTCGGGCTGAGGTGGATAGCGCCACAAGGAGACCATATTCATGAGTTGTCTTACTGGGCGTGATCCTGGCCAAAGCCCCATGGACTCCATCTCTGTTTTCATCCAAATCCTTTGATTCAGAGAGCAGTTCCAGTGACTAATATCTTGCAAATATCCACTAACAGGTGCTTCTGTCTGTGCAGACGCCATTGATGCAGGAGCTGTAGGTGCTGATTGTGCGGCAGAAGGTGGTACAGAGCCATCAGTCTGTGAAGAAGGCCTACACACAGGAGCTGGTGGACTGGGAGAACTAGAGTCTGCATGTGATGCTGGTGAAGGCTGTGGCATAACTGCAAGAAAACAAAGCAAAGGAAATTAATGAGTATTCATATATCGTGTATAACACATTTAATGCACGTGTGTTTAACTGTCTTTACTTTTTTTCTTCAAGTAGCTGGGAACAGGGGTTTCAGTCAGTGCAGACGGCATTGGTGCAGGTGTGGGTGCTGATTGTGCTGCGTGAGGTGGTGCAAAGCCTTCACCCTGTGAAGAAGGCCTACACACAGGAGCCGATGTTGTTGGAGGCTGCGGCAGAGCTGCAAGGAAAAGCACATGGAGGAAATTAAAACTGAATGTACATATGTATTTGATTGTCTTGACTACATTAAATGACTAGTAATATATATTCTGATAATGTTCAAATGTCTGTAAGTAAACAGTCGACTTTTTCACAAAAAATAACAGTTTAGCATGCATACAATTCATGAAGTGCACTCACCCTCACCACTGGTATATTCAAACCTTAACAGTAGTTAGAACAAAAGAACATGTTTTTAGAACAGGCAAGAACACTGCCAAAACAACAAAAAAGAGAATTAAAATCAGAGATGGAGGTTAAGTCTGTATGTAACCGAATTAGCCTCCAAAACTGATGTGTAAAGTAACCTTGTGACAAGGTTCAAGGAGGTGATGGAAGAAGACAAGGGATCGGCGAATACTGGAGCTTGTGTGCTTTATTAAACAAAACAAAAAAAAACTCTTTCCACAGCGTCTCAGCGCTTCACAATAAACTTGAATACACAATCGGACAGGCTCTTTCCCGCTGATTCACAGCTTCCTTCTCAGTCGAACGGATCACTCCTTCCACAGCTTCAGCTCACGGTGTCCACACACAAGCTCCAGTCTCTCTCACTGAGGTGTCCCACTGGCCCACTTAAATACTCTCCCAACGCCAATCACTGGAATCACAGACAGGTGTTTATCATTTGAACTTGACCCGCTTACTTCCCGCTCGGCTCCTCCCCCGCTCTCCCGCCGCAGACAGCGCTAAACCACGCCCCCCATACCACAAACCTGTTGTAGATAAGTCTGTGGATCTTGTGGCTGCAGATGATCCTAAAAAATAAGCATTCAAATTTGAATGGTTTCTCTCCAGTATGTTATTTATTTATTTTTTTTTTACAAATTTTATAAGATTTTGACATGGGTACGGCCTGTGAAAACTTCCTTAAGTTCTTTTGTGAAAAAATTGATGTTATAAGATCATACTTTCCCCGTTCTCTTCTGGACCTACCGCAGTTTACATCACCACAGATTTTAACAAATATGGCAGAGTTTTCTCCACTGTCTCATAGTCATTTGCAACACATTTTTCGACAAATGAAGTTTACCTTTTGTTCACTTGATGTTGTTCATCCTCGCCTTATGTCGGATATATTTGATTTTATTAGTCCGAGCCTATTGTCAATAATCAATAGTAGTTTGGTTAGTGGGATAGTTCCATCTTATTTTAAACATGCCATCGTACAGCCGCTGCTCAAAAAGCCAAACTTAGATCCAAAATGTTTTAATAATTACCGTCCCATCTCTAAATTACCATTTATATCAAAGGTTTTGGAGAAGGTTGTGTTTAATCAGCTTTCTTCCTACCTTAAGGAAAATGGTGTTCTGGATAAATATCAGTCGGGGTTCAGATCACAACACAGTACAGAGTCCGCATTGCTTAAAGTTTTAAATGATTTATTTCTGATTGTTGATTCTGGTAAATGTGCTGTTTTAATTCTGCTGGATCTTAGCGCGGCATTTGATACTCTCGATCACGATATTCTTTTATATCGCTTACAGTGTATAGGGATCCAAGGGTGTGTTTTGAATTGGTTCACTTCATATTTAAAGGACCGAACCTTCTCAGTTGAGATAGGCAGTTTTTCATCACCTCGTGAACCAGTTAAATATGGGGTTCCCCAGGGCTCGATTTTGGGTCCTGTTTTATTTTCTTTATACATGCTTCCATTGTATGCTATTTTTTCCAAGTATAATGTATTCTACCACTGTTATGCAGACGATACTCAGTGTTACGTTCCTTTACATCCAAATGATGATTCCAGCTTAAAGTGCTTATTGGACTGTTTGAGGGACGTTAAACAGTGGATGTCTGCCAACTTCCTTCAGTTAAATGAATCTAAGACAGAAGTTATAATTTTTGGCTCATCTAAGCTTACAGAATTGGTCGCCAGTAAGTTGGGACCTTTATCTGCTAATATCCATCCACACGTTCGCAATCTGGGTGTTATTTTTGACTCAACTTTGACTTTTGATAAACAGATAAACGGTGTGGTCAGAAGTTGCTTTTATCAGTTAAAGAACATTGCAAAGGTTAAGCCATTTTTAACACCTAGAGACATGGAATCTGTGATGCATGCTTTCATTTCATCAAGGTTAGATTACTGTAATGCACTATACCTTGGTGTCTCACAGTCTTTACTGTCACGTCTTCAAATGGTCCAAAATGCTGCTGCAAGAATGCTAACTGGAACCAGGAAACGAGAGCATATCTCACCAGTATTGTCTTCTCTTCATTGGCTCCCAGTTAAACAGCGTATTGAGTTTAAGGTGCTGTTGTTTGTTTATAAGGGATTGCATGGACTTGGTCCTCCATATATCTCTGATCTCCTTTCAACTCACCATAATGCTGTTAGAAATCTTAGGTCATCCAGTAGTCTACAGTTGACTGTTTCGAGAACTCGTCTAAAATCAAAAGGAGACCGTGCCTTTTCAGTGGCCGCCCCACAGCTCTGGAACAATCTGCCATTATACATAAAGTCTGCACCTACTTGCACTGATTTTAAATCACTGCTTAAAACTCATTTATTTATTGCTGCTTACGGTCACAAGTGACTGTAGTGATACTGCATTGTTTTGTGTTTGTGTATTGTTTATTTGTTTTTTTATGTCTTTTCGATGTTGTTTATACATTGTACAGCACTTTGGCCAACAGCTGTTGTTTTTAAATGTGCTTTATAAATAAACATGACATGACATGACTGGGTATATATATATAACATACACGACACAATACTTGATTTACTTACTCAGCTGTGTGAGATATTTTGTTGGAGAAAGACTCAGCATCATCCTCTCCAGTTGTTCATCCTCCTCCATTACTATAAAATATAATGAATGCATCATAAGGTAGGTAGGCTTTAATAGTGAATATAAGCAAATTAGCATGAATTTTATTAACTCACCAGGCTGATCAGAGTCAGTAATGGAAGGAACCGGTGGTCTTGCAGCGGAAGCTGATGGTGAGGGCAACGGAGGAGTGTTTTTGGTCATCTGTTTTTGCTGCTGTTTTAAAAGATACTGCTGCAAATTGTACATTTTGCTGCCTGGCACACACTTCTGCCTCATTATAAAAAAAAGCATATCCGTCTGCCCTGGTATCCCAAATTTTCTTCCAAGTGTCTCATGCTCTGGATCCAAATCCAACAGTATTGTCATCCTCTGTCAAAACTGGCAGTGGATCTGACCTTTGAGACAGGTACTGTTTGAGATCTTCAATTTCCTTGAAGCTTCTTGAATACTCAAGAAAGGAAATGAGGCTATCCTTGCATGGACCCTCTGGGTTGAACTGCCCAGCCCGTTCTTCTTCCTCAACCTTGTCGGACGGGTACAAAGCATAGCCGACGTCATTCTCTAATAACCACTTGAAAGACTTGCCCTTGTACTTGCCGAACTGAAGAATGCATTCTCCCAACACCTCTTGCTTGTCCGAGACATCCCCTCCTCTATGGAACACCACAGAACGGGCATTCAGCTTGACCAGATCGTCTCTTTGAGGTGTTGACTTGTCCTGCAGTGAAGGGTTGTCTTTCATTCTTGTTGCCTCTTCAGACGGGTCCCGGTGTAAATGGCCTGATGGACCTTTCCTGAAAGACACTTGGACTTTTCCGGGGAAAAACACAGGTTTCTTCATAATGCTGTTCTGAAATCAGAATGTATTCATAAGTGTTTCAGCATAACCATTTAAATATTTACAGTAGCAAAGTGAAATAAGACAGTTATTACAAACTAAAGAATCAGTGATGTATATAAAAGAGTTATTTAAAATGCTGTAATATTCCTTGATATTGCTGTTTCTTAACTGAATAAATACAGCCTCAGAGCACAGAGTGTTTATTAAGTTTGCATTATTTAATATTCATTAATTAAATTGTTTAAAAAAGATTTAATATAAAAATGTGTATGCATAAATGTATGCATGTATATATAGTTTAACTAATTAAAAATAAGTTTAACTAATTAAACTAATTAAAAATGTTAAATTATACTATTAAATTGCACACATATTTTTATTTGTTTGTAATTGAAATGTAATATGTGTGTGTGTGTGTGTTACGAGCCCCCTAAATGAATTTAAACGGGGACATCCTAACATATAAAGAAACCACAAGAACGTTCGTGGACAATATAAAAATAATTTATTGTCAGTGGTTAACAAGAAAGACAGGTAGGACGGTAACAAAGTCTGGTGGTAAAATAAACATAAAGCAAACAGAAAGAAGAACCCTGCTCACTAATATCTACCGAATCCAACACTCTTGTCTGCCTCCCGTTCAAAACAAAGACAAGTTCTCGGTGAGTCTTCCGGGTCCACTGACTGCTGCTCTAAAATAATCTTAGACTAAACAAGTGAAAAACCCGTCACCAATACCACCAACTCAAAACAAAAATAACTGACTTCGTCATAACACCCACACAAATGTCAGGACAGGTACTGGGGTTAATGCATGGTCTGTTTACACCGTTCCGACGCCATCTAGGTCAAAGGCAACATCGGCCAAGCCCATGGGAGCTTTTGGGTACAGCATCCGCTCCGACATGAGCAACCACGGCGAGGAGGAAACATGGGAGAGAGCACGGCGTCCGACCGCACCAGAGGGAGAGCGAGGTCTAAACCCAGTGAGAGAGAGAGCGAATGTGAATCTCCGTCCTTTTAAAACAGTCGGCCCCGCCCACTCGCAACCGGGGAGACGTCACGTGACCTATAAGGCAGGAAACAGAAAACAACAAAACGAACAAGAACAACACAAACAGTGTCCCCAACGTACAACCACGTAACACCCCCACCCTTAAAGAAAATAAATTGGGGTTTCAGTCAACAAAGGAAAAATCATCCATAAACGTCTACAAACTCGTAGGCCGCAGGATCTCCAAAACCTGCTGAACAGGAGAAAGAGAAAAAAAAATTAAGTACAACAAATATAAATTTAAATCTCTGATCCCAATTTATTTAACTCATTTACATCAAGCACGAGACAATGCATCTGCAACTACATTGTCACGTCCTCGAATGTGCTTAATCTCCAAGTTACAACCTTGGAGAATCAAACTCCACCGCATTAATCGCTGGTTGGAATTCCTCATGCGATCAAGAAAAACCAAGGGATTGTGGTCGGTATAGACCACCACTGGAGACAAAGCACCTCCGACATAAACCTCGAAGTGCTGGACGGCAAGCACTAGCGCAAGAGCCTCCTTTTCTATTGTTGAATAAGCACGCTGACAGCGGGTGAACTTACGCGAAAAAAAACAGACAGGGTGTTCCAGTCCATCTGCGTCATTTTGCAGAAGAACAGCTCCCGCTCCCAGA